CAGAAAGAGGCACAGCCAGGCAACGCAGGCAGAGAGAGAGAGAGAGAGAGGGACAGCCAGCGAGCATCATTCAGTTCACACTATCGTGGCTGTGCAGCAGAGCACACACATCAACACGCCCCCTTCCTCTCTCTCCTTCTCTCGCTCTCTCTCACTTTCTCTCTCACACACACACGCACGCACGCTTAGTCACACAGACACACACACGCTGGGGTGCAGAGGCAGTGCAGTGTGCAGTGGTGCCGAGCAATGCACCTTCTCCACGATGTCTTTTGGTCCTCTTTAATCAGGACCGTCTCTGTCCTGTTCTCTGCAGTCACAGACAATTCTGTCAATAAACGCTGCCAGCGGCGTGCTGTATCCTACTGCCCGCTCACCTAACCAGCCACTGATGAGTAGCCATGATTGAAGCTGGCAAGGTCATGCAAGGTTCTCTGACATCCCCAGCTCCAGTGCTCCCAGCTTTGTGGCACTACCTCCCAGCTACTGTATTTCTTTTGCAAGCTAATACAGGAGCACCGCCTTTCCTCATCATGGGTCATCATGCCACAGAGGCTGCCCAGCGGCTCGACAAAGCCTCACTCGCTGTCAAGTTGGGCAAGACCAATCAGCTGTCATAAACAGCAGCAATACCGCGGCCGTCCAATCGCAGATCGGGAAATCAAGTGCACAGGGGTATTAAAGGGGATTATTTGGGTCATCCTGGGTTTTTTTACTACAGGGAGATGTGGAGGATAGCAGCACAGCATGTGTGGTGTGGCTGCCCTCTGTGGCTGACAGTGGTGCTGCACTCTGTTATGGGAAAAGGAGAAGCGGGAAGAGCAGGGCCCAAAACGACTTCCCTCAACATTGATGCTTAGCAACTACAGCATGTTCTTACCTCCTGTCTTGGGGCCTCCCTCCCCCTACGGTGGGACCCTCGCTGCAATCCCAATCGACAGACTATTTATCACAGCATCTGTTTAAGACTCAAGGCAACCACGACACAAGCAATTGTCAACCGTTCCCACACGTGTCCTCTGACTGTGTGTAAACACTAAATGGGGAGGTGCTTAGTTCTGATAATAAGCAACACCAGTTGGCCCCTCTGGCCAACTGGTGTTGGCCAGAGGGGCCGATGGCGCGAAATGGCAGCCTCGCTTCTGTCAGTCTGCCCCAGGGCAGCTGTGGCTACAACCGTAGCTGCCTCCACCAGTGTATGAATGTGAGAGTGAATGAATAGTGGCATTGTAAAGCGCTTTGGGTGCCTTGAAAAGCGCTATATAAATCCAATCCATCATTATTAAGCAGGAAGTACTGTTCCGTATAGCACACCTTTATAGGTAACTGTAGATCTCACCAAAGTAGGACTTCTAAGTGTGATTTTACCCTGTTTTTCCACAGATGTAAATGCTACAAATACATTTAAAATGTCTGTCTCCATCACACCGAAGCTCTAAAGGTAGACACAGCATTTAAATAAAACCATTAACTGTTACGGACTAGAGGTAAACTGTGTCTATTAAACTATTTGGAAGCACAGTATTTTCTCATCCCCGGGGAGGGCAAAGCTGTACAGGGTACGTCAAATTGTTTGCTTATTTTATTCTTGAAATAATGATTCAGTGGATGCCTGCCTACCTTAGAATGTTAAAGAGAACCAAACCTGGGCAGACAGCTGTCAAAAGCTGTCAGAAGGCAGAACAGCAGCTCCAGGCCTGCCTGCGCCCAGCTTACTGAGACACATTCGGAGGTGTGAACAACTGTTTTGGCATTCCCTTTTGTGAAGAGTTCGGAATATTATTCAAAAACTGTGCAACAAATAGAACACGGAGAGCTCAGCTTTTGCACGGAGATGATTTGGATACGCCGATGGGGTCAGACAATATTCACCAGAAAATAACTCATAACGTGCATATGACAAAGAGGTAGAGGTCAGATTGCAGTTATTTCTTCGACATTTCAAAAGGGGGAGGAAAAATACAGGTTTCAGTTGCTACAGGCCACTACACTGACTTCAGTCATATTAAAGTGCTCCAGGTCCTGCCCTGCCTCCTGCTGTTTGCCTGTAGCACGAACTACCCTGATGCTATCTACGTCACCCTCCTCTGAACACTTGCTTTGCTCTTGTTATTATGTGGACCCTTATGTAAACATTTTAGACATTTTCAAAAGAACTGTCCATGTATGGATTGTGGGTTTCCTTTTGAGGCTTGTAGACAATGGCTGTGAATACAAACCCCTACAAGGTTCTCTGCAGGTGCCTGAATGAGCTTGCCATTCTCATCTCTTATTACCTCTATAAGTAAATTACTGCACCTGCAGGGTGCAGTTAGGCTATTTGCTTTAATCAAGCAAATAGCCTAACTTTGTGAACACCAGTCATGCAACACGCTGAAGAGATCGTGTGCTGACGATAGAAGTATCACAACATAGTTCTCATCAGATGTTACCACTTTGCTTTTTCAAGCTATGTTAATTTACATCATACACCTGCCACAGGCTCCAGCAGCTGGAACTGGAAGATGGTTTGAGTATATCGCTATCACTAACAGTTACTATCAAAATAGTTTCTTTCCAACTGTGTCGTTTTTAACTCATTCCAGCAAGACTGATACAGAAGCACAAACACAGGCAGGAGTTTCAGGGGTTTTCCTGGTTTAGAGTGGGCCTTTCTGGGTAACAGTAAGCATAAACCTATTTTAACACAAACCTCAGTATTTCATATATTTCTGACCATTTAATGATCAAAAACTATTGAAATTGGCATGTCAAATACAATAACTATTTAAAAAATATTTTACTAGAATGATTTTCCTTTGGCTCCTGGTAAAAGCTTTGAGGGCCCATAAAATTCCCCTATACAGGAAAAATTTAATAATAATGGATTGGATTTATATAGCGCTTTTCAAGGCACCCAAAGCGCTTTACAATGCCACTATTCATTCACTCACTGGTGGAGGCAGCTACGGTTGTAGCCACAGCTGCCTTGGGGCAGACTGACAGAAGCAAGGCTGCCATAACGCGCCATTGGCCCCTCTGGCCAACGCCAGTAGGCGGTAGGGTAAAGTGTCTTGCCCAAGGACACAATGACCAGGACAGAGAGCCCAGGGATCAAACCGGCGACCTTCCGGTTACAGATACGCTTCCCAACCCCCTGAGCCACGGTCGCCCCTTTTTTTAGATTTGCCATGTGATAATACAGAGTTTAGTGTGATTAGGATCAAAGTACAAAACACAAAAAATAACTTTTCTGTCTCTGCGTTTAACTTGTGCTAGACTAATAATATGTCCCACGTCTACTGCGCTTCAGCCTAATCTCATCATCACACTCCTGTCCCTCTGCAAGCCTGGGTGATGGCTTATATCGACACTAGAGTAAAAACAGGACAGCAACCTCTTTTGTGATTTGGAAAAGTGGTGGCAATTGTATTCAATATTTTCATTCAGCAGCCTATTGCAAGTATTTGAGCATGAAACGTCCTCAACTACTGGGCAACCAATCGCAAGGTGACTGCACAGGTCACCTGGTTCGAGGCAACCAATAATAGTTTTTGATATGCTGCAAACCTCCCTAGCATGACTGTAACATAAAGCTCCAGTGTAGATGGCCCCTGGTGACCACGAGTCCATAAGGAAGAATTGTATTACTAATCGAAAGGCAAGTGTTTGCTAGAGGTAGCTTACTTTTGCTAGCTGACCAGTTTGACCTAGCAACAATTTCTGCTGCACCAAAGATCTTGTGATTGCTTTGGTCACGAGCAGATTGCTGCAGTCACCTGTAGTTTGAATAGAAGATACCAACTTGTCTGCAAATACTCACCAACTACTTGCTAAGGAGCAGTGAAACTGAACCAGGTTGGTGGTCAACCTGTTTTTTCTTTTCTTTAAAGGTGAACCATGCAAATACAGGCAATTAGTGACGACCAATAACCTCCAGCAGTCACTCACCAACCACGCAAAAAATACATATTCTTCTGCAAACTAGCTCTAAGCCTGTGTGACAGAAGCCTAAATGTTGGAAAATTACTTTAGCCTTCATTTTGTATCGTCTAATTTAAAGAGTCTATGAATCTAGATGCTGATTATCTAGTTCAGGGCAGCAGGAGTGCTGCAACCTATCTCAATCTATCTGGGCAAGATCAAGGGTACACCCTGGATTGTCAGTTTATCGCAGCGAAAGCAACTGAGTACCCAACATTCAAAATGTTGAAAGTGACAATATTTAGTTTTTAAGAAAAATACATATGTTTATTTTGAATTGAATTTCAGCAATTATAGCACAAACAGCTGAAAAGACTGTGAATATCTTGTATTGGGATTTTTCCTCAAGAGTAAAGATGGGAATAGATTCAGACAGTCCAGGTGCTAAACTGATTTGCCAGCAGTCCAGACTTTTCACAATTTCAAAAGCATTTTGAAAAGAAAATTAAAAGGGAGCCTGAAACAGACAGAAAATTCAGAAAACATTTTACTTTTCCCAACTCAACCTATGTTGCAGAGACACTAAAAACTCTAGGAGTGGCCAAATCAACAATCCGTAGATTCTTAAAGAGAATGAACTCACTGGCCAACCCACCAACACCAAAAGGCCTGAAAGAGCACCAAAGAAAATTAAAGTACGTCATGCTGTTTAGAAAAACTGTAATTCAATTCCATTCACATTGATTTTTAAAGTTAAAAGCTATATAAGGTGGTGTACAAAACAAATATTAATGGACCTAACTGTAGCTATCCATTTTAAGTCTATTTAATGAGCAGCAAGGACTACTTACGCTGTTATGTTGTTAATTTAATAGCTAAATATATGAGGCAAGACGATTATTAAGAGGTGCATATGGCTGAGTTTGTTAATAATAACCTCAGTGGCAGTCAAGAATCGTGTTTGAGGAGCGCGGGATGAGGTCAGATTATGGCTGCAGGCATCAACAAATTCTGATCCACAGTGTCCAGACACTGTTAAATCTTATTCACTGAAAGCTTAGCAACCAGCACACACTCAAACAGCACGCCACACTCACTTTATCCGTGCCTCTCACCCAGCTGTTCTTCTTTGCTCTGGCTAGCGTTCGTCTCTGGCTCCACACTACTTCCCGTTGAGACTGTCTCAGGAGTTTCTCCACCTTGCAAGTCTTATGGCAACCCATCGTCCCCTGCCAAATGGAAAAATAGATGTCAAGCAAAGCCTTGCATCAGTCACATTTCATCTCTTGCTTGGTACAAGCAATAACCTACCATGACAGAACAGTTTGCATGCTTCCCCAAGTGCTTGTCATGGTCAGCAGCGACAGATGATGATCTCCAGCATGTTCAGATTATAAATATCTGTATTCAACAGAGTTACATAATAATGGATTTGGATTATTGTTAGTACACACAGACAGAAAAGATGACACAGCTGCCACAGGAAATGCAAAATGCATAAAACTACACCTCTGTAATTGAAAAGTCGAGTCAATATATTTATATGCATTTCCTCTTATTATATGCACATAGAAAGTGTTAAAGGCTTTAAATATTAACTGTGGAAATCATAAAAAAATATTAAGCTCAATTTTATTTTAGAGTGTATGCTGCATTAGGCTACAGTTTAAAATTCATGCTTTTCTCAAACTAAAATTGTGATTTACAGCAGCTGTGAACCTTAATGCGACTCCAGACTAAGTACACCCTGAAGTCTAACGGTCATGAGTTACTGCACAGTTTCCACTGTGTCATCTAGACCAGCGTGTTCCAGACCCAGAGTAGACTTATTAGCTGTGGACTTCTCCTTCCCTGACAGCTCCAATTCCAGTTAGACTCTAATATACTGAACGACAGTGCTGTGCAAAAGACTTGAGCCACCTTTGATTTCTTTATTTTTTTCCAGGAAAATGGGAAATAGATGCAGTGATTTATTCAAACATGTGCAAACATACATGGAAATACAATATATAAGACACAAACAAAATTTACATAATTCTAATGAGTTTAAAAATCTGTATTTGGCATGAACACCTTTATTCTTCAGCACAGCCTAAACTCTCTAAATACATTAAACAGTCCTCAGAAAGAGTTCGCAGGTTTTGCAGTACATTCAAAGCTCTTCTTTGGGTGTTTCTGCCTTTTTTTTCTGTCCTCTGTCAAGATGATCCCACACTGCTTTAATAATATTGAAGTGCAGGCTCTGGGGAGGCCAATCCATGGCTGATAGTGTTAAATTGTGTGTTTGTCTATCCAGGTATGCTTTTACCACATTGGCAGAGTATTTGGGGCATATTGTATGGTGGATTAAAATCTAACGGTACTATTATACCTCCATAATTCCATTAATTTTGACCACATCCCCAACACCACTGGCTGAAACACAGCCCTAATTGATGACAGCACCTCCACTGTGGCTGTAGACACTCACTGTCACTCACCTGATCTCCTCTGTACATTTTAATGATTTGAACTAAAATTTGGATGAATTACTCCATAAGACCTCTTGCCACTGACTTTGGTTCTTGTGTACTTACCTCTGACTTTTCTCCCCGTTTCTTTTCCTTAATAATGGCTTCTTGACAGCAACCCTTCCACTGAGATCATTTCTGATGAGGCTTCACTGAGCAGCAGATGAATCAACTGAAGGGTCAGAAGCATTGCTCAGGTCCTGTGTCAAATTCTTCCTGGATTTTTAACGCTTTCTTAAAGACATGAATTAGAGAAACTGCTCAGCTGCAGTGTATAACTTTTTAGCCTTGCTACTTTATGTTTCTGTCTTGCACATGTCCAGCGTCCTCAAATATTTTAAGAACACACTGCATCCAGTGCTGAGACATGCCAAGCTGATTGCTCTTTGGGAATCATGTCGCACTCTTTCTTAAATTTGACGTCATACCAACCCACAGAGCTGGAGTCTTCTGGCCACTCTTGCTTAAGCCAAACTCAACAAGGTTGCAAAAGCGTACGATATGATCCACGACCCTAACCTAATATTTACAAATGTGTGCAATGATTTGTAACTTTTGAGGACTGACAAATGCAAAGCAATCAAACCACACGTGAAATCATTTTACAAGTGTACGTACATCCAACCCTGAAATACTGGTCGTTTGCGCGCATTTTTTAAGGTCAGCTCGCGAATCAGATAATTTTACCTTTAGAAAACATTTCTGTGCGTACGAATGTCTAAAACTACACGTAACTCTCGCTCGCTTGCTCACAAAACCTTAAATACGTGCGAACGAATCGCTCGATACGAACAGATCAAGTTTGAGACTAATTTAACGGGGCCAACCTTGCACAGATCCACAAATGTGAGCTGCTTTCAGGTCCCAGTGTAAAACTGGGACATTTGAACTTCAAACACTGTACTTTCTCTCCACGCAGATTAGCAAACACAAAGCTACATGCACTACTAGCAAGGGAGGCTGGTGAAAGAAAATGAAATAGTGCTCCAGCCCTGTTGCATTTGACTAGTAGCATTAAGCTAAGTTGTTCTCCATTTGGCATATTGATTTCTATTTTGACTGATATTTCCAGCTTTCACTCATGGCAGAGGTCAAACCTCACTGCTGTTGTTTTCTTTAATCCCCCTGCACTTTCATCACATCCAGTGGCTAGTGAGCTAACACTATAAATAACACTGAAATTAAATGAATTTCAACTGTATTCTCAGCAAAACTGACTGTCCATTTAACAACTCCACTTTATCTCACATACCATCACTTCACATAGGCAGTTGATACAACCTATCACACAACTCTGAATTATTCTGGCTTGTTTATAATCCACTCTTACAAAATGTTGATCTCAACACGCCCCTCAAACTTCACCTTCATCAAAGTCAAGAAAAGTTGGTCTGGTAGTTGAGGATACTTATTCCAGCCAATCGCTACTCATCGTTACAGATCAGTAGGGACTATGATGTAAGTAATACAAGCACTTAAAATAAATTATTTTATGTGTAAAGTAATACATTTAGCACAGTTGAGGAGACTTGTAAGTATTGCTGTGCCATACTGCAAATTTAGTACAGAGACCAAGTAAATACAGGACCAGTATTGCTGATACCAAGACTTTTGAACTTCGAGCCTATCGCGCTAGTATCAGTCTGATACCAATACCAAGACTGGTATCAATGCTATCGATATTTGATCAAACTCTGCTGGTGAATAACACTGACCACAGCAGAGTAAGAACAGAGTATTACCTTTATTGACAGAAAACTGCAGTAACAGGGCAGTTTAATATATTTCTTTAGCACTCCTGACCAGTGATGGAAGATGATCACCACCTGTGGTGAGTCACTAAGAAGTTTAAATATCTCTTATTTATAGTTCACAAAATGTTCATATTTGTATAATTTCCCTTTCAAACTGACAGATGGCTGCTTACAATTCTCAATCTATTCTGTGGAACGTGGGAGATTTCCCACTAATGACTAACAGTAAACTATTATTCAAAATTTGAAAAGGCACTAACCCAAATAATTAGTCAATGCACAAAATACACTTTGTTATCACTCACCATGCTTTAACATCGACATATTGCCACAGAAATTACTCATCTGAACCAACTGCTGTGACCAAGTTAAATCACAGCTCTTAATGTCCCCTGATTTGACATGTAGGATGAATACTTGGGGGGGCGGGGGGGTCCCAGAGCTCATATTTAAGGACATTCTGTGATATTTCATTCAAAGTACACCTCTGAAAGAGCCTTTGATCTAAGTCAAAGGAGAGAAAAAGAGAGGAAAGGGAAAGAAGACCTTGCCCTCCAGGGACTCACTTCCACTTTCCTAACTAATCTTGTTTGGTTGATTACACAGAAGACAAGTGCTTTGTGCAAAGCACTCATTAGGCCAGAAGTAAACAGCAGCCTCTGTTTCTTTCCGCTTTTTACAAACTGAACCTCCAAATGTTTGAAGTGTTATTAGAGCAAGCAAAATACCCCTAATTTTGTCTTGAATAGTCAGAGATTTTATTTATTTATTATTTTAAATATCTGGATAGCCCCTGTATATTTAACTAAGAAGTTTTTAAGAAAATAAACAAGGACAGGACTTTTCATTCTGGATTTTTTATTTATTGCATTAGTTAATATCTGTTTTTTCAGTATAAAATACAAAAATCAAGCAAAAAACAAAAAGGTATCAAAATAAAAATGTGTGTTCCTGAAATATTCTTCCAAGAGTCTTACATTACTGCATGACTCTTTTCACAGCAGTATTTCAGTCATCACACTCAGTAGCTGTGACAAATGCACTTAAGGTTAAGGTTTCATATTAAAATGTCAAGAAGGCACATTTACAGTATAACAGTGGATTCTATGTTACTACATGAAATTCCTAAAGGTCTCCTGAGCTGTAGTAGTTTAACATTCACATCACACAAATAACATTATATATACACAACAGGTGAAAAGGATAAAGCACATACTTGAACATGTAAACACAAAGTATGCCGTCAGTGTACAGAGAAGTGAGCTGGTCACATGTTTTGACACTAAAGCAGCAGTTTGATAAAATTGTGACATGCATCAGCTTACCCAATTCAGGGTACACAGCTGGGACATGGTGCCAAACTAGCACTTGGAGAGAGACAGCCATTCATCTACAGTCAGTTAAACAAACCCCACGTGTGTCTGTGGGAGTACCTAGAGATAACATGTGAACTCCACACAGAAAGGCCCCAGCTAGCTGGTAGACCTGAACCCAGGACCTTCTTTCTGCAAGGCAACAGTGCTAACCAGTGCACCACTGTCTGGGCAGTTGTTGTAGCTTTATTAAATTATAATAAAAGAATGATATGCTCTCATGTCTGTGTTTAATGTGAAGCAGCAGCCAGCAGCTATCCTAGCCTGGGTAAAAGAAAAAGTGTCTGTGGCATGTTTATTACTTTAACCCCTTAGCAGTCCTACAAATTTACAATTAGTCCCCTAAACCATCCAATGTACCGTGGGCGGTACGTCCGACTGCTAACAGGTTAAACATGCAAGTTATACTTAATCCTTTAATCGAACCCTCAACAAGCACCCAAATCATTTCCCAAAATGTCAAACTGTTTCTTCAGCACAAAAAAATCTATTTAACAGCAACATAGAACAACAGTAATCTGCTGTATTGAACAGACGTGCTCTACTTCAGCATAACACAGAGGCCGATGTTGTTGTGTCTATTGTAACTGGTTCTGTGTGTTGACTGTTGCGTCTTTGTTCAGGGCTGATAGCAATTATGATGTTTTACAGTTAAGAAGAATTGATATATTTTTGCAGTGAAAATATAAACCTTGAAACTTTAGAACCACACAAAACAGACTATTGCTGGACCACTACTCTGTGACCTAGAGCAATGTCCCAGTCACATCCGATTAGTTACATGCATATAACAAACAATCAAAACTAAAGGCTATTCTGGCACAGTAAAGTACACACAGACTGGAGCTGACCAGTAGCTAGATGAGCTGTGTTTTGAAGGTAGAATAGCAGATATCCTTGAAGTGGTACATCCCACAATCTTACAACCTACTTCTGTTATGACAAGTATGCCCACCTCTATTCCAGTTTTATTGAATTCAGTCTTCATCCTTAAAACTCATCAAAAATAGGAACAAATTTCAGAGTAATTTCAGGCTCACCAATTTGCAAGACCAATTATGGAACAATTTAAGAATAAAGAATGCTTTATTGTTTCATAAATTTTTTTCAGCTTAAACATTTGACATGTTTTCTGTGTTCTATAGTAATGAAATATGAGGATTTGCTTTTGAATAATTACATTCTGCTTTTATTTTTACATTTTATCCCAACTTAAATTTTAAAAATATATTTTGTCTCTTTATCATCAAATATAAGCACCATGTTTTCACTAAGGCATGAAACTGGCGACTGAGGCCATTAACTCCAAAGGAAAGTGTTAAGGAGCCGAGGAATATTTTCCCCACCAAGATCTGTTGCACTGGACTCTGCTGACCACGAGAAGGAATTCATGCTTCTAATTGGACAGACACGCCCTAACTGCCATAAAACAGTAACAATTAATACTTTAAGATGTTGTCTTTAGTGAGTGATTAAATTGCTAAAAAAGTGAAAAATTAAAATAAAATAAAAAAACATTGAAGAATAGCAGGGGTACTGGGAAGATGAGACAAACAGATCTATATCTATATACACATCTGCTGCTAAGCTTTAGGCTTTGATTATTTTTTCTTTTAATTAAGAAAAGGTATTAATTAACACCAACACTTGTGTCCATCATGTAAATATGCCAGATCTGCTTTTTTCATATGTAGTGAAGTGATGTAAACATTAAAACTTTCTTTTACCGTAAAAATGTATCAATTCCAAATATCAGCTGTCAGTTGGTTGTTATCAGGAGTCATTGTTTTTAAAAAAAATAATAACAATAATGGGGGAAAAGTTCTGCTCAAGACATCCGTCCTGCTGGATAGAGGCTGACAGTCCTATTATGAAGTTTGTAAAAGTTTCATCACTTCTGACTGCTGTGGAACTGCACACGATGGAATTCATTACTCAAAGACTCCGACTATTATGATGAGTAAAAGTATGAAACCTCCACACATGGCAAGGTAGAGAAGCTTCTGTCAAAACAGGAGAAAGGAGTAGTCAGAGGAACTGGCTGCATATGAGAAACCGCAGATCCAGTGAAGCATTCGGCAGATGAACATAATATATAAAATAGATTCATAAATTAAGAGATGGATGTTTGGCTCAAGAAAAGGAAGTTGTGGGTGTGGAAGTGTTGTTACCTCACAGCAGGTCTCATGCAGGGGGTTTGGTTAGTCCGACAGACAGGCCGACAATTAGTGCAATAACAGCAAGCAGGATCAACAGAGCAAAGGCAAGAATAATGTATTTCTGGCAAGTGAAGAGGAAGACGGTGTTATTTAAAGTTCATGAATGAAAAGAAATGCTGCTTAGACCACGATCTTATATCAAATTTACCTTTACAAAGATTTATATTTTTTAAATTGCATCAAGAAAGAACCAGAAAGGAGCACATACCCTCCGGGATTTCTTCTGGTACCTGACTGCTTTTTTGGTCTCTTCCTTTGCACGACAAATGTATTCAGCTGCATTAGAGACGTTCTTCTCAATGTTGTTAACCATATCCCCCTGTAAATGAATGCAGATGCTTTTATTTATGGCCGGGATGTCAAACCTATTTCACATCCTGGATCACATACAGGCCACTTTGATCTTAAGCAGTAATTTCTATAGTAGTGGAAAAACAGGAACTTTATGTCCTTTAATTTTGTAAATAGTGAATGACAGTTTGGGGGGGTACACCTCCTTGCTGGACAAGTCTTAGTGGCCACAAGCCTTATGTTTTACACCTCTGATTTGATACTGGTATTTGTGCTACGAGCTCCATTCTAATATACCTAGTAGACAATATTAGAAACAAGTTTTAAAAGAAAAATCAACAGATCTGCTTGTGAAAGTTTCCACTCAGATGAGGCTCTTACCTGAGTTTCTACCAGCATTGCCATGTCCATGAACATCGCATGGAGCTCCCTGATGCTCGTCTCCAAGCGCATGATGTCCTGGTGTCGTGACTCTATCTCGTTCACGGCTTGCCGTGTGATTTGGGAATCAGAAATGATCTGAGGGAGAAAGATTTAATACCTTCAAAAAACCATCCAAAATCACCCCATCGGCACACAACCCCAACTGCAAAAAAGATTTACTCATCAGCCACTAGATGGCAGTCGTGGCATTTTACCAAGCAAGCACATTAATGCTGGAGAAACCGTACATCAGAGGTGAAGATGGATGGATTTCCACTTTCTAACATGTCTTCTAGTTCTTCATTGGTGGTCACTCTTCCAGCTAGAATTAAACAAATAAACAAAGAATTCAAAATTGTCTGGCAGTTTTATTTGATTCATAAGTTTTGGCATTCCTAACAAAAGTGACTGTTTTGGACCATGTGTATTTGCTCCCACCCATGAAAGTAATATGCCTTCATTTGATGTCATTATGGAACTGAGGAAGAATCCCTCTGAATATATTTTATTTCTTTTGCCCCATCTCTGCCTGCTGCAGCTGTCAGTGGATTCATGCCAAAGGGTTGCATAAGAGGTACCGAAATCTACAACCCCCCCCCCCAAAGCTCCTGAAACAATCTCTACAAACAGAGGGCTTTCTTTTACAGCAACCATGCCTCCTGTTGTAAAGTACTCTCCCTGGAGAGAGAGAGACCGCTGTGCAGGTGCTTACTGTAGATCACACACGTTTATCGGTGGCTGTTCCTCAGAGAGACACTCAAAGCAAAACACACCACGCGCTCAGCTCATCGCTACACATCAAGGCTTTTACTTGTGAACGGTGTCAGTTATTGGTGTTTGGCGACAGCACAAACTGAGTCTGGTCAAAGACAGGTGAACTACTGTTGCACAGGCCGCTGAGTGCTCTGCTCGTATCCCGGGCAACGCAAACACAGAGAGGCGTCTCCAGTATCAGGCTCGCCCGTCTGCAGAACTAGAGCCTCTCATTAATGCCGGCCGCAGGGACTGGCTCTGGGAGTCAACCCTTTTTTATTTTTTGCTTTTCACTATTGTTACTCACATATACACATATACAATGGATCTGCCTGTTTGTTACAGGGATACTGAACAGCGAGGACTTAACACAATAAGCAGAAAGCAAATTACAAATCCGGAGTTATAACAAATATGAATCTTATTGTACCTAAACAATCATTTCTATCTGATATAGAATATTTGTTAATGAGACTACGTTATATGTTGCTAATACGGGAACCATTTTTAGTACATTTCTTTCCAAAACACTGGAAATTTATTGTCTGGGCGTTGCAGAAACCCTATGCTATTGCTCTTCTCTGTTTATCAGCACTAAGGCTGGTGTCCAGAGAAGCAGAGAGGAAGCTGGTGCAGTCTGTTTCCTGGATCCTGCCCTAACACAGCTTGAGGGTTTTACTTCTTTTGTCGCCCTTTTAGCACTACTTTTTGAAATTTGTCAAAAGAATTGAAAGTGTAATTAATTTCAAGTCCTGTATGGTCATCCATTGGTAGTTAATGTAGCCCATTATTCCTGGGCTTTTTCAGATACAGGAGTACAATTATTTGTCACTCACTTATCTCCAGCTGTCTCTGGATTCTTCCTTTGCTTCTTTCCCTAAAGGACACTTGAGTCTCGTTGTACTGGGTCATGACCTCCACAAACTTCCTGGAGAGCACAGTGTGCTGAGGACAAAAACACAGGGACACAAAGTGATAATGTGCTGCAGGCTTTCCAGACTTCTGCTTATCCAGCTCAGGGTTGCCTATCCCAGCTGTTTTAAGGGGAGCGGCAGAGTAATCTGCCACAGAGGTAACACATATAGAGAAAACCATTCACCCTTATGTTCACACCTGCAGCCCATTTAGAAACAGTCCATCTAACCCAGTGCATTTCTTTGGACTGTGGGAGGCCAGAGTACCCAGACCTTAAATCCAGCTCTCTCTTGCTGTGAGGCAACACGGTTAACAGCTGGACCATCATGTCACCCTGCAAAGTTTTAAGACTTAATACCTTATAATTCAGAAGTACAAGATACAAAGTACACGTTGGAAGTGTTGGAAGGTTATGATACAGTTTTTGCTCTTAAACTAGAGAAATATACCATCAACAAAATACAGAAGTAAAGCTGAGAGCTGGATAGTCAGAAGTTATTTTGTCTGGATTTATTTATAATAAAAACAAAACAGCTTTTATCTGTATGAAGTTCTGCATACAGCTGACAGAGTAGTGCTTGGGTCGTCGTGTGATCAGGTATGTGATAAGTGTGCGTGTGTGAGGAGATCGTGACCTGTGTTTTCTGGATCCTGAAGTCTACGGAGGCCCTGTTAGCAGCATCGTCTTTGGGCATGCTCAGCTCAATGGCTGTGAAAAAAAACAACAAATAAAAATGACATTGTTACACAATTTGAAACGCATGAAAGAAATGTGGACGACAGCTGAACTCACATTTTAGTTTGGTTCGCACCACATTGACATTCCCTTTGATATCATTGGTGAGTGCAGCCAGCTGATCCTTTGTTCCTTCACACACAAACAGGAGATGTGTTAGATTTGAGTTTGTTTAGAAGAAAAGTCGTCATCCAGGTAATCCAAATATTTGATCTGCTCTGATTTCAGCTGGTCACTTGGCAACGACCCCGAGGCAATAATGGAGAGGTTACAAAATAAAGGACAATTTCCACGTCATGGACACTGTTATGAACTACATTAACTGATTCCATGGCAAAGTAAACTGAGTTATCCTGTGACCAGATTTTCCACTCACACAGTAAAGAAGGCTAGACACTGATTCGGATCTAATTAAAGGATCAGTCATAATTTAAAACCATTTGGAATTTGTAGAAATTATTTTTTTTAGTAAAACAGCATGTTTAAATCCCTGATTAGGTCCTGAATCTCACAGTAGTTTGTCAGGTTTGATGCAAATTTGAGTGCTACCTCCTTCACAGGTTTCCGGTCTGCCGGCCATTCATCGCAACTAAGGAAGGAAGACATCTGAAGCACGTTGACTCTGTGCCCAAAAAGACTACTTCCATCCATGCATTTCTAAAAATAAAGCAATAAAAAAAACCTAAAGGATGTTAACATCCTAAACGACCCACACTTACTGTCATCTGTGTTGGGTGCCGACAGGATCATGCTGTGGATCTTCCTCACTTCTTCCACTTGTATGGAGATCTTATCGATGACTCCTCTGACTTCTTCCACCTACACCAGCCGATAAATAAGCAAAGAATCCATCAGTGTCCTCAATTATTATTGCTTTTAGTCTTAATACACATTCTGGAAGTCACAGTAGTACACACCCTTCTGAAAAAGCTATCCATGAATCCATCTTGGTTAACTGTAACTGCAACATCCTCTTCTGTTTGTGAAGCGGCCTACGAGGATGAAAATGTGTTTGAGTGACCTTTTTTTTTTTAAATGCCGCCAGGCTATTTCATGTCACGATCCACGAAGTTGAAGCTAAAACAAAAACACTTACAGCGGTCAGTTCAGCCAGTCGATCCTTCATCACACCGGTCAGCTCGTCTCCCGCTCAGCTAGTTGTAAAGCATATGCTGGCTCTATCCTGTACATCTCCATGTGGAGAGGAACATTGCCGCGCAGTCGGGTCCAGGTGGCTAATAAAAATAGATTTAGTTTAATCTCTGAGATCCAGGCCCACGAGGTTGTGAGATGCCAGTCGCAGAAATAGGAAGTCAGTGCCACAGGTCGAGCTTTGTTTGATCAAAACTGGGTCCAAGACACAACTCAGAAATAAACCCAGAAAGGGCTGTTCCTGTTTCAACTCTGCCGATATTCCCCGCTCAACAAGTGCATCGGATCCGTAATAGATCCACAGTAATATCCCTCTCCCCGGGATACGCCTCTCTCTCTCTCTCTCTCTCTCTGTGAGGTCTCTCTCTCTCAGATGACGTTGATGGAGAATCTGGTCCTCCCTTAATCGCATTTGAACTTTATGATAAATAAACTAAATGGCTGCAATCATATTTCAAAAGGGCTGAACTGGGTAGAACTATTACACAAATCTGAAACTATTTGAGGTACCATTGTCAGACTTTAATCTTTTGTGGCATTTCTGAGTTTATTGTAAATCGATTTTTTTAATATCAATTTGTTTTCTTTATTTAATTTTTTTTAGACAGCAACAACAGTTTGCGGTTACATGAAAAGGTTTTTTATAAATAATATATAAGCGCTGCTGGATGGCCGCTAAGCTATTATTCACCTGGCCACACAGTGGCGCTGTTTACCCGCGTAAATTGACTTTTGGAGCCTTCGACGGGACTCCTGATGACTTCCCCATATGTGGATGTCATCCAAACTCTAAATGCCCAACTCTCATTACGCATTTCACAAACCGAAATTACCGAGCCAAAAGTCAAACAAGGGCCCACTTCTCATCTGACAACAACATAGGTCTTGTTTTATGTTTCCACTTGGAGTGCTTTGAGTTCTTCTTTAATACTGATCTTATTTACAGAACTTTCATACTTTCATACTCTGCTCCTTTCCCACATATCTAGGCATATCTGTGCAACTTCGCAGATAGCACTCAGCGTATTCCTATTATTCCTAGAAATGTTTTGCATGCTGTTTGTCTAGCTACTCAGTCATCCAGGTTATTGTAGTCTTCAGAGCTTGAAAAGAAAGAAAAAAGCTAGACAACGCGACTCTCCACCAGTTGTCGGAAGAAGCTTGCTCGAAACGTCTTTAAAATCGTATGCTATTTACAAATATTTTGAATACAAACTCAGATGTGCATCTGTGGATCACACGGTGCACACCCTGATCTCACTCCCCGTGCAATCTCCAATTACGCACAAGTAACGCCTTTTACGCACAAACTTTACCGCCCCTTCTTAGAAGATCCAAAGAAAATGACTTCACGTTTTGCAATTCCCACGTTCAGTCCAGCAGCAGCCCAGCACAGCTCAGCGGAGCTCCTGTACTCCTTGAGGCTCCCAGATGCAGGCAGAGAAATTCTAAGAAAACGGCTTTTTAAATTTTCGGATAAATATTAAGGATTACAATTTTCTGGAGTTGGGCTTCAGTTTTTTATCATGAAAGGACAACTTCTGAAGTTTTTCGGCCTCATGCCACAACTCTAAATTGAATGCTTTATTGAGTCAGTGCTTCTATTTATTTTCTTTGGGTATTTCTAACCTTGGACAAATGGACTGATCCGAAGTTTTATTTTTATTCTATTGGTACAATGAGCGGTGCTTATTGGATTCATCTTCACCCGTGGAATTAAGTTGTTTCAGAGATTTAATGTTATATTTTGCAGAGATTATGGCATTTTGTTTGCGGATTCGCATTTTTACAGCTTTTGTCTCCTTTATTAAGGTAAACTTAAAAAAGGCACATCATGATGAAAATGACTAGCAATTCCTCCCATGTAGCAGAACGAACTGTGCACTGCAGACTTTATAAGTTATTTTTAATTTCTTAACAGGTTTATGCTCAAGTGGCGCAAGCTCAGAAGCATCCAGGTAGTAAGAAATTTCTGGACTGACAATTTCCCTGTGTTTTCAGTTGCTAGATTAAAAATGAAAAAAAGAAAGAAAGAAATAATTTGTAAGATCCTGTTTTACCATCTGCTAATTTCCATGCCAGAGGATGTTATTGCTTTGTTTACTTCTTCTGCTTAATCAAAATAGTCTGCTGCATAAACAACTTTTTTCCAGTTGTTTGCATCATTATTATCATCACTGTCTTTTTAATCCACCCCAAACCCAAAATGTAGTTCTGGGAAAATAAATTCTGATTAATGAGGCAGTGCTTGATTGGATGAAAAGCCCTTTCTGGATGCCTGTTTATGCTTGACTTGTCCATCCAGGCCTGGAGGTGTTGGACACGGCCTCGCATTACTGGCCGCTGGATGCAGTGGAAGGAATCCATGAACTGTGGGATCATAATGGAAACAGATCAGGTTATATTAACGGAAGCAACATAAGTATGTGAATATGAAAACACCTGTTCGATTTAAATGTATTTTTACCACCCATCTTCCAGCCAAAGCTATATGATTTTAATTTTAATGCCAGATTTATGAGTGAAATTACAGTCAATTTAAAAAAAAAGGATTTAAAAATGCTGCAGTACATCGTTTACAAAAATCTATAGTTTGGAGATGACATTTGCCTGATTTTTAATTAAATATCATTTGCAGCAGTGTTGTAGATTCCTCATTCAGTGAAAGATTAAAGTTAAAGAGGGATCGGGTATAGACTTGGGCATGATGTGTGAAGTCACACTGAGTTTTCTTTGACCACTGCCACCTCGCACGCTGGTCACCATCACTCTGTCTCATACCTGTGCATCACGTCCCTCCCATTGCTTTCCTTTCACTGTTCTGTCTTCTGTTTTTTTGTCCGTATTGGTGTGAATCACTTTTTTTTTTTTGTCTCTGTTGTTTTTGTCCAGCTATCAGAATCCACAACCACACTGTGCTCCCTTCTTCCCATAATTCTTCCTATGTGTACAATGACTCTGCCTACACTAACATTTCTGCAATACTAGGTGAGGATCCATCACTTTTCCTCTCACTGAAAATCATTTGTGCATCACCCACTGCCTTCTGTTGTTCCCTCTGTATTGCCACACGGCTGAGCTGAGCCCTCCACACTTTTCTCCCCATTCAGTCTTCGGTTCTTACAGACTGAAATGAGGACTTCTTGGTATGTTGATGATAAGGGATTGTTCTTTAACATTAAATAAACCTGAAGTCAAGTAGGAGACTTATTGACTGGCTTCTGACATGAGATGCAAGTAAAGCTGCAAATCTTTATGTTCATCATGCAAAACAGCGTGTGGTTAGATGACTATAAAGTCACTTAAACGGTTACAACACCTTCCTGTTTTTAAATGAAATTTTTCCTCTAAATTGTGCTTTGTCCCAGACATTGTTGAAGGAATGGTTAACAAGGGCATCTTTCTGAATGGAGATAACGGTGGCACCTTTCTTCACTTTGGAAACTACCAGAACACGTGCATTAGTGACCCTAATTTATGTGGTCCTGAGGGTGAGTGCACTGAACTTAATCTATAATTGAACAAGTTATCGTTTAGCTTGTAAAACTGTTCAGCTCCTGTACTGACGGCTGCTGGGTTTTCATCATCCCCTAGGCATTACCTTCTCCTTTTTTTGGAAAAACCACGAGTCAGCCTCCCGCTTTGCTGTCGCTTCTGGAGGAAAAGTTATCTCCAATGGCTTCTCAGTCTACACAAACCCTTTAGGAGGATATGTGGAGTTTTACACTCGTAGCAACAAGCACAGATGGCGGGCCAACATCGACGTTCCAGGTACGCTTAATACATTTCCTTTCACATAGTTACATTTCCCACAAGGAATCTATTTTGGTCTTGAACACACCATAAACTAATGGTTATATAATTGCATTCATGACTTTGTTAACTGAGACCAGATGTAACTACGGACAGTTGATTTGGCAAAGATGGGGGTAGATTTCTCAAATCTTTTGCTGTAGCACTAAACATACAATTTTTTGGAGATGGCAGACAACATGTGCAAAATAATGTTCGGTGTTTAGTTTTGGTGTCAAGTTAGATGAGATATGAAACACAATAAAAGTCAGAGTGTGACCAATATTTTGAATTCATTTCTGAAAATGAAATTACTTTCTTTTCTTTTTTTTCATGAGATGGGCTGATACTGTAAACAGTTGACAAAATGAAATAAACCATGTGAGATTCAACATTACGTGAAACTTTTACCAATCGCTATTCTCTTCTCAAATGACTTGTGTCATCCTTGTTTTTCCTGCAGTTACTCAAGGTCTTGGTCGTAACTCAATTTTGATGCTAGTGTTCGGTTATAAAGATCCAAACGTCATCTGGTTCTCATACAATGACATGTTGAGCCTTGGGGACATAATGTCAAAATATGTCACTTCTCTTTCTTCTGATTTGGGAGAAAAGGTTTTTGTGGGTGAATGAGTAAGACTCGAGGGCCTGTGTGACCCAGTGTGTGATTGTAAGGTGAAAGTTAATAATATAAAAATGTACATTTAGAAGTGAATGAGAGACTTGCAAGCTGAGCTTGGTCTTTGGTACATCCAGTACTGCTTATATTGCAACCACAAATGACATGTGTTTTGGTGGTTTTGGCTGTCTGGCATGTGTGACGGGGAAGGCATTGTCTTTTGGGACTTCTCTATTGTTTATTAATTTCTCTGTTCTTGTGATGCACAATTCATTGTAAATATTGGCTGGAGTTTTTGGTTTGTGCAAACCATAAAATCTAGCATCTGGAACTGAAGGAGTAATAAATTACTAAATCAGTCAAAAGATTAAGCTCGATTAATTAATGGAAAAATCAAACATTTTAGTTGACAGAGTTAATTCAATTCAGTTCTGCTTTATTTATAAAGTGCCAAATCACAACAACAGTCGCCTCAAGGCGCTTAATGTTAGTTGAGTTTTGGTTCTTCGCTTAAGACAGCGCCATCAGCTGGTCAAAATGTAAAATTGTGTAGTGTTCTTGCTATTCTAACTATTCTTGCTAAACTAACCCAGCATCTTTCTGAACTTAATAGGCTATCTCACAAAAGCCATGTATCTATGTTCAGCCTCACATAGCTGTTAGCACGGCTAGGAACTTGTGTTTAAGACACACACAAATTCTATTCAGTTCAAGCCAATATTGTTTTTATATTCTCGGGTAGTAGAACAGGTCACCTACAATCTGGAAGGCTTGCGGGTCGATCCCTGGCTGCTCTCCGATGCATCCATGAGTCCAAATTTGCAAAGCACCTGGAGACAGCGGGAATGAAAAACTCCCTTTTAACAGGAAGAAAGCTTGAGCAGAACCAGGTTCAATGAGGGACAGCTATCTGCCGTGACTGGTTTGGGATGAGGGGAGGGAGACGGGCAAAAAGACACAATTTAAAAAACAAATATTAAATTTAAAAAGCTAGAACCAGCAAATATCAGTGTGAGTTTCATTTGATGAAAGCTACTGTGCATTGAGAACACGTCATCGTTTACTTTCTGGGTTAAACCAAGCATGAAACATGGTGTCTGCAATATCAGTCGCTTTAAAAAGGCGACCAATGACTGAGAACATTTGCAACACCACACACTCAGTGTATTTTCCCGCTAAACGTATTCACACATGAAAAGCTACAATACTGAAAACATTATAAAGAAATCCCAACAATCAGGTAACCCCCTGTGAGCAAGCACTTGGCAACAATGGGAAAGAAAAAAACTTCCTTTAAACAGGAAGAAAGCTCTGGCAGAATCAGACTCAGGGAGGGGTGGATTCAATTCTTCAACAATTGAGCGTTTCTTTCATTTTATGTTTACGTTATTAGGGCCATACTGGACCCACATCCTCTTTACATGGACTAAGAAAGATGGCCTGAAGGTCTACATCAATGCGACTCTAACTGCTGAGAACAAAAACGGAAGCATCTCAGAGGAAACTTATGGAGACCCCTACCCTGACCTCGTCATTGGAACTGCCAACAATAAGGGATATAGTCACTATGTAACAGGAGCCTTTGATGAATTCGTCATCTGGGAAAGGGCCCTTTCACCTGAGAACATCTCACTCTACTACAATGCAACTATAGGTAGGACCTGTCTACTATTAAAAAAAACCTCCTGAGTCCTGACATTCTTGAAGATGCTGATTTATTAAAATGCTTCCTCCCTTTTGGCTTGTCTCTGAGGAAATCATGGGTTAAAAAGCAATTTCCGTCTTTATCCATGCTACAGTCCATCCACAGAATTCATGCTTAACAGAAGCACATCAAACCATGCAAATATAGCCTGTCTCACTGTCAAATGGCTCTTCTTGCAGAAACCATTTTCATGACCTTCAAGTGCCATGGCTTCCATAGTTTTGCCTTATAAGTATTTATAAGAGTGCAAAGACCTGAGTTGAGATGCAGGGGCCAATCATTTTAATATAATGTGACAAGTTACAACACGCTAGGACAAAACACCCAGAAGCTTTTCTGTTTTTGTTCAGTAGAGAGCCATAAAAGGACACAAAATGGCATTTATGAGAATGTAGAAAAAAATGAACGTTCTGCTTTGTGGCGCTTTATATTGTAAGGTAAAAACTTACAATATGAAAACAGAGAAAACCACAACAATGAGCTTTGGCAACATTGGGAAGGAAAACCTCCCTTTTAACGGGAAGAAACCTCTAGCAGAATCAGCTGGGGATGAGGGGAGGAAGACAGGATAGACTTTCTGTGGACGAGAGCAAGAGATTAATAATAACTATATTACAGTATATAGTTATGATTATATTTTCTAATATAAGATATTAGAAAATTTCATTTTAATCTGAAAAATATTCGACACTTAATGAAATGTACCTTTTTAGCTGAACGGTTAAAGCATTTTTGGTTGCAGATAAGTCTTACCGATCAGTAAAGTTGAACTCCTCTTGTGTATGGTGTTGATATATAAAGACTGCTACAGAGAATTATTTTGTGGTCACGATAAAGCCAGAGAGTCTTGATTTCTTTATTACCCGACAAGAAGAGCCTGACTGTTGTGGTTACAGAGAAATATTTTTACCTCTGCAGAACATGCATATAAAATGCTGTATTGAACTAAAGAAGAGCTGACTAATATGTCTAATGTACATCCATATATGGTGTTTTTCTGGTAGCGGCTTAGAGCTGTTTTTATTAAATGACAGCAAATATATAAAATGTGTTTGAGCCCGGTACAGAAATTAGTGGCAGAGTATTATGTGGTGGAGTATCCCACTTTTGCGGAGGCTGTAAAATACCTCCTCTCATGACCGGGCATTACACTCACACTGTAAGCTTGAAGGTGATAAAATCCAGCCACACTACTGCAGCCTGACCCAGCTGCATTCAACAAAGGACCTAAAAAAAAGTCACAAAAAGGCAAGGCTAGACTAAACCATGATTAAAGAGAGGGGTGATGCTAAGCTATACCCTGTCCTGTTTCAACCCTTTGTATTGTCTTTTCTAGCTTGGGACATGGTTTCTAAAACAACACCTAGAATCTCCAAGGAAGTGATCTCAACTACGCCAATGGCCGTAAGTGTCTCAGGGTTTCTTTCAACAATAAAAGCCTAGTAGAGGGGACAGCAGAGGAGGGTCTCGCCACAGAATACCAGTGAGAACTAAAGCCCTATAAAATTGGTTTTATATCATTAAACAAATTAGATTATTTTTGTAACAGAGAATGACTCAGCACTCAGTATCTTAGCTGTACAGAAGGTAATTCTAGCTCCTTGTTAGCAAAATACATTTGTTAGCTACTCACAGTTTGAAACCCCAAGAGCTACAAATCCATGGGCTTCAGTTAGCATGCTAAATGTTAAAGTTCATGATAACACAATTAGAAAAATGCTGTATGTCTTTTTGGAAGGACTGCCAGGAGAAAGCCTCTTCTCTTAAAAAAAGAAAAAAAATCCTGGCGGCTTGTCTTTGGTTTGCAAAGCTGCAAACTAATCATAAGACTTCTGGAACAGTATCCTTTAGATAGATAAGATAAAAGTGGAGTTGTTTGGGCAAAATGCCCAGCGAGACGTTTGGCAAAAACCAAAGCATATCAGCACAAACACCTCATACCAATTGGCAAACACAGTGTTGGAGGGGTGATGATTTGTGCTTGTTTTGCAGCCAAAGGACCGGAGTGCCTTGCAATTTTTTAGTTGACCATGAACTTCTCTGTATAGCAAAGTGTTCTAGAGTCAAATTTGAGGCTAACTGTTCGACAGAAGCTTTACCCGAAATGGATCGTGCAACAGGATTACAAGCACAGCAGCAAATGTACAACAGAATGGCTGAAAAGAAAAGCTTGACAAATACTGTATGACGGTAATTTCTCAGTTTTGGTATAGATTAGGATTAATTTATTGGATGTTAAAAATATAGTACTCTTACAATGTGTGGGTGATGAAACCCCATCTCTGTACCTCAACATCATTGGGAACTATTACCAGAGCGTCTTTGAGCCAAAACACATATGAAAGTCAATAAAGAAGTAACAATGAAGGACTTTTAGTTGAATGCACACTAAGAGTTTATTTCCTGTTGAGGCATTGTTTCCTTTTAAAGACAAATGGAAAAAAGCAAATAGATAACACATGTGAATAGAAGCAACCTTTTTATCGAAAGGCTTTGTTTGTAGGAAACAACTAAAGAAATAGAAGATGGTAGGCAGAGTCAGTCAACAGTGCACACTACAGCGCACTTCTTGTTGGGCACTAATCTGAAAAAGACCAATGCTGAAACTCTGGTCCAAAGAGTTTTCTCTAAATTCAAGCTATCAGTCACTAAACATCCTGTGTATACTGGAACTCGCTGCTCCTGGCAGTAAACTTCATTTGATGCCCGATGTGCTGTCTCCCCAGAGAGCCGCTGATATGAGTCCCCCTGTCATCAGCAGTCTCCAGGAGGAGCGCCGACCCACAGACTTCTTGCCAGTGCAGAGTTTCCTGAAGACGCTGCCCAATGGAACCATTTCTCGTGATACTGCGAACAACCTCACACAGGTCTTGGAGCACAGTCCAAAACACATGTTGCTGTTGCAAAACCAATTCATACACACAGATACAATACCCACCCATGCGCATATGATGCAACAATTCTATGATGTTCATTTTCTTCCACCCAGGGATTGCTCAAAAGTGTGGAAGAAGTGCTGTCTTTTCCTGGACTGACAGAGGTAAATGGGTTCACTCTGTAGTTGTGCAGTGTCCAAACATGACGAAATGTAACGTATGCAATGTGGCGAATACGTTAATGTAACACGCCGAGGATATCTGGATGTTTAAAACTGCGTAACTGACTATAAAGATTTTTGCTTCCTCCACTGTGCAATTGTTATGGCCAAATCACAAACACAAGAGAGCGGTTTCAGTACACTGGGTGTTCAGAACAACCTTGCTTGTTTTTGTAAGAGCAAGCTGAAACAGATGTTCACATCAAACTTGGACAGTAGATACAGTGTAGAGTGAGTTTGAGCCAACCGAATTATCAAGTTTTTGTCAGGTTTTTTGTCAGGTTTACAGTGTAACTCTAGACGGTGACACTATCACCTGTTTTTATACTGTGAGCAGTACTCTCCGTGACAAACAACAAAATCAGAAACAGTGAATCAGTTGTCAACTTTTTCTCGTTGGGTCATTGTTCTCTAGCAGCAGTCCACCCCTGTGGTCAGCGGACTGGTCAAGACAGTGGACAGAGTGATGGAACATGTAGTGACTAACCTGGAGGACAGCCCGAACTCTCTCATCTCCCTGGATGGAACATCTTTTGTTGCAGGTCAGTAAAGTGTCAGGTTCTCCATAAAGTAAGTCATTGTTTGTAGCTTTTGCGGACTCCAAGCCTCAAGTTGACATCATTAGTTTTGTAATCACGTCAGGCCAACATTTGTTCAGAGAAGCACAAGTTAAGCTTCTCCACTTTTCCTCTCCTGAGTTTTTTCCTCATTTTTTTATTACTGTCTCTCTCCCAAGGGGTCGTTTGATGCTTGTGATTCCCCCCTGACAATGCAAATTGGTCTTGTTACTTGCTTGTCACTTTGTTTTTCTCAACAGTTCTCCCTTTTCTTAACCTCTGACCTCCGCAGATTACTCTCTGATGAAACTCCCACAGAATTTTGAGCTGTCACATTACCGCTTCCCCACAGAAGGCAAGAGCTACATCTCTGTGCCTGGAGAGGCGTTCGCAATGGAGTGTAAGTACTAGCATTACAGCCTCTGCATGTTCACTGACAGGTGCTCATCGACGTGCAAGGAGGAACTTTCGGAGGATTCTTTGCGTAGACAGACCAGTAGCTGGGTTTGAGTGTGAATACCTCACATTAGCCATGCACTGATTCTGCCAAGAGAAAATTGTCCAGCTGGGAGACTCTTGTTACCGGACGGTAATTTATTATCGTAAGATTTAGGACTACTAACATGGCATACAGTTAAGGACAGGAGTGCCATGAGAGCTTTTGTGTGGCTTTATGGTGTACTGTAGAAACCCAGCTATGACTTTAATGTTGGCAGTTACCCTTTTATTCAGAACAGAAAGAATGAGAGAGAGCGCACTTTTTCTCCACTTTCCTCCACCGTTAAAAGGAATGGATCCACGTAGTGGTGCAAGGGAGAGCAGTAATTACAGTAGGCATTAAAACTCTGTTTGTTTGACTTTGTGTTTAGGTCAGATTCCCTTGGCTCCACCTGGCTCTCGCATGCACTGAGTTGCCATACAGAACGAACTCTTAATAATTAGTTAAAGGGCTATTATCAGAAGTGGAATACATGTTATTGCTTAACACATTAGAGCCAGGAACAAATTAACTCTGAATACCTGGCTGCCCATAGTGCTCCAAGGACAGATTTTATATTCTAATTAAGAACAGAAAATGCTGCATATTTTGAGTTTTGTTTTTTTCTTGTTCTCTCGCTCTTCTGTAGGAGAGTTGTACAAGTGTACTGGCCCAGTCTCTGCTGAGGCTCACTGGGATGCATTCTGTTGTAATATATATATGTATTCCACTACAGATTACAGAATACATGGCCCAAAATGTAGTTTAAAGCATATTCTTAACTTGATGTGAGTAACGTATTCTGATGCTGTGTGAATTATTACTATTACTGAAGGCTACTTGCCGCCGAGCTAACATTGTTAGCTAGCGTTACCTGAGTTCATAGAGCGCAGACTGTAGACTTGATGGAGAGCATTAACAACCTGCTAGCTGCAAACGATCACATGCAGTTCTGAAAACAATACCAGCTAGATTTTTAAATCTTAATATAAAATGAGTAACATTAGGGTGGACTTTAGGTAAGGCTGCACTTTTTGCAGTGATCTCGCATAGAAAACTCTTTCTGTATCAGTAATATGTTTTCTTTTTGTTTGCTTTCAAAACTGCACACGGTTATTTGCAGCTAGCAGGTTGTAATGCAGCTTTCAGTAATAGTAATACATCACACAGCAATGGTACATCGCAGATACTGAAGTGGCACAAAACCCAGGTAGCTACTACAACTAAAACAAGATAGCTGCAGTAGGCTAACCTTAGTTTTTAAAAAAGAACTTACTCCCAGATGTTTCTTTAGGTTGGAGTCTTTTGAAGATGAGAGCAGCTTGGTTGCTGACAAACAGAGTTTGCATTGCGCAGTCAGATTTCCGGTCAGAGCCTCTTATTGCGTTTTTTGTTTGGGTTTCCACTGGCGTGAAATTACCAAAATTAGAGAGGAGATAGAGAGGAGATAGCCTAACATATGAAACAGAAAAAGACCACCGTGTAATCCATTGATTTTAACAAAGTAACTGTATTTCCAATTATCACCTATTTAAGCAGTAACTGTAACGGAATACCGTTACTCATAATTTGTATTTTAAATACGTAACGCCGGTACATGTATTCCCCAACACTGGATGGATTATATATTTATTAACAGTCTTCTGTTGCGTATCCATATTGTTTGACATCTGCTTTTGTTGTTCTAGAGCAGTTCCCAAGTGAAAGGCCTTTGAAAGGAGGAACAGGGCCATTAAGCATTTCCTCCAATTTCATTGTTTATCTTAAAGTATTAAGGTGGGACCGAGCTGAACGATAGGTCAAGTCAGGGGTGGGGGAGCAGACCCCCAGCTCTCCTGGTGAAGTCATTTAGACATTTCACTAGCTTTCCAACATCCACATGGGTTTGCGGCAGTCTTGCTTTTCACCCCGGTGCGAGTATAGGACTGTCCCATTAGCCCGCCGGTGCCACCACACTGTAGCAAGCCAATGTTAATTAACTTGCCTTCTTTGTGAGTGTTTTAGCAGCACTGCTTTACATTCCCGGCCCTCAGCTCATTTCTTTCACATTCAGTCTGCGCGTGTTGTCTTCTTCTCCTCAGCTCAAACCACCATTGTTGGCCTTTTTTATCACAACATGCACAGCTACTACAAAGAGATCAGCCCTGTGAAGACCAGGTAAGATGACACAGCATGCTACCAAACGTGAAAAGTAAAATCTTGAAAGGTCTAACTAATAATAAACAGCAACAAGAACAAAAGCGCAAAGTCAGGGACACTGCCTTTGTACTTCCTGTGTGGGAAATGGGTAAGCTGGCACCAAAGGCGCCCCTGCTTCCTGAATTGCAGAACAGCTGATGCCCCAGGCCAAGGCCTTATCTGTTTTTTTCTCTCCTATCTCTCATCACACCACTGAGCTCTGATACACCCTGCTATTAGCTCTTTCACTTACTGTTCCAACACTGGATCAGCTTGTTCCAGCTTTTAACTCAGTTTGACATAACGATGATTAAGCATCTTGTTGTTCCCCACTTTTGCATCCATCTAAATTAAGTCAGAAATGTTTATGGCGTACATTTGGAGGCTGCTAGGCCTCCCTTTGTATTGTAAGAGGGAGACGATGTTTGTGTGACCGCAATGTCAACTTGGGGTCACATGATCATCTTGAAAAACTTGTCATGGAATAATTCTGGCACTAAGTGTGATTCATTAAACAGACAGATGGTTAAAGTCTCATCTAAATGTCAATGCTCTGGTCCTGTGTTTAACACGTATGTGGGAATGCCAGTTGCAGATAACAGTGGTGATAGATGCTATTGTGAAGCAAGAGATCTGGAGTACTTCTCCTTTTAACCAACTATCAACTTTGATCCACTGATGAATTTGTAAGTTTGCTCACTTACCAAGAAATGAACATTTTTATGCAATCCTCTTTTAATGAAGAGACAGATAAGCTTAACCAAACATCCAGAAAACAGAAACGCATTATATAAAGGTTATAAATTGATTTGCTTGTCATTTCCTGAAATAACTATTCGATCCCCTACAACCCAGCCACAATTCTTGCTTAGACTTGTTGTGTGCCCACAGTCATGCACGGAGGAGGAAACATTAGGTAATGGATGAGGCCATGTAATGTAAAATCAGCCAGAACACTGAGAATGGGTCATGGATGGGTCTTCCAGCATAACAATGACTCCAAACATACTGCTAACTAGCTACTCAAAGGAGTAGCTAAAGAAGAAGCATATAAAAGTCAACTGCGTAGACGGCCTTCAGACTTAAGTCCTATAGAAAATTTGTAGAGGAGCTGAAGCTTCAAGTTAGCAAACAATAGCCAAGAAACCTAAAGGATTTAGAAAGTTTCTGTAGAGAGGAGTGGAACAAAATCCCTCCCGAGATGTGTGCAAGCCCGGTGACCACCTACAAGAAGCATCTTACTGCTGTGCTTGCCAACAAGAGTTTCTCCAACAAGTGCTAAGTCATGTTTCGCCTGTGGATCAAATACTTATTTCACTCAATGATTCAATGTCTTTTTTTCTATATTTTGGTATATATTCTTGCTTTCTCCATTAAATTGAAGCTACTATAAAATTGGAGATGTTTCATTTCTTCGTAAGTGAGCAAACTTACAAAGAGTTGGGATCTGCAGGGGATCAAATAAATCTCCCCCCACTGTATGTCTGCCATTTCTTTCCGTCTCTTTCTTTTGTATGTTTGTCTGGCTTTCTGCTTCAGTTTCATTTTTAGATTATCTAAGCCAATTCTCCCCTTTTTATCTCTTAGGATTAATGAAGCAGCTGATTACAAGGATCACAAAATCCATGTAGCAAGCTGTCTGATTTCTTTGAAAGTGGAGCCTCTGCCAGCCCTGTCGGTCAACCTTTCTGGAGCGCCACTCATAAAGATTGTGCTCACCCATGTTTTGGTAAGACTGTAATTTGCATGTCCCATTTCTTCCTCTCTGACTCATTTATCTTTTTTTTCCATCTTGGTGAGTAATACTGGGAAAACTAAGAGAGTTTCTGCTTGTCTCAATTGTTGGGTGTGGGATGTTATCAGAGGGGAGAGCTCTGCCTATGGTTTCGATAGCGGTCGGATCTCTTCACATGAAAACTGTCGGCTCTATTTTTGGTATATGCTTATGTAAGACGATGGCTGTCCATCACTGACTGACTGAGGTTTGCGCAGCTGGGCATTTACCAGCACAAAGAGCGAAGCCTGGTTTGGTTTTCATTAGGCTGCCTAGCATTTCCCTTGCGGAGCATTTGGCTTCTAGAAAGCGAGCTGATTATGGGCATTTGAGCTGCAAGCTTAGGGCACTTTAAAAGGAACAATAACTTTATTTTATGAACAACATATTTTTCTTTGGTACTTTATGGCAGGGACAGTGCCAGCTTTCCATGGGAAATTCAGTCAAAACTGGAAATTAATTGACCAGTGTCTATTGCATTAGCTTGTGTTCCTGTAAACTCATAAATGTGGTGGCAAACTTCACAATCTTGTATTTGTTTTATCTTAATTAGTTGTGTTGATAAGCTGTTAGATTATCATGCAATGGCATTAATGAGGCGGTTGACTTAAGCACACTGCAATGTATTTCTGTTTCTTTTACAAGTCCTGCATGAATGATCGACTTTCTGTAGAAGTGAATCAACCCCCCCTCCCCACTCATAAAAGCAAAAAAGAAACTCATGCAGCTTTATGAAACCATGGTAATATTGCTTTGTTTGCCTTCATCTTCCCTGGTGAAATAAATGTTTATGCTGTAATTATCTGGCCTGGTTTCTGTGACAATGATTGCTCTGTTTGTTTTAGCGGACACCATGGGAGAGGAGTTAAAATTTCCTTTGTTATGGTAGTGCTGGAGATGCTCAGCAGTTCTCCGCTCTGTTTCTGTTTTAAGGTGTTTCTATTTTAGTTGGATTGCCCTTACCACTGATGTAAGGATAAATCAGGTTACATGCATTCTTTCCTCTCTATCCCATTACAAATAGGCTGTTATACTTATTAGTAATGCATGCTGATTGGAACGCACCGAGCCAGCGCATTTCTGTTGCACATAGCTCAGGCTGTGATTTATTACGAGGAGCCACATCGTAATTTGGCATGCAGAACTTTTGGCTCTGGTCGCATCCAGAACAGGTTGTTTTTGCTAAAACTGCACAGACCTGTTGTTGGATTTAGTCAAAAAGAAACTATTTTGGTTGTTTTACTAGTTTTGGCAAGGTGTCGATACTTATCACCTCCCTAGCTTGAAGGCAGGGTGGGCTGCTGACACAGTATGTGGCAGACATTACCCGTCATAGTTTATGTTGGTCTTTACTGTCTGTACTAAACCTCAAACATGTCTGCTCATGGCACCGGTTCACTGGGCTGGAGTAAGTGATTTGCGGCTGACCTCTCTGTTTACCCCCTGAGAATAGGTAAGTGCACAGTGACTTCATTAAAGCCCAGTGGGAGTGCTGAATGTGTCTAGCACAGAAATATGTCAGCTCCCTCATCCGTCTTTTCGTGCTGTCGTGGCTACGACAAGCTCTGTGTTTCGTCTCTGGTACTGTACAGTCAACTACTATCCTGGCTCAGACACAAAGTCTCATCCATTTTCTCTGTCTGACACTTGGAATGCTAAAACATATGATATCATGGAGTGATGGAGTCACCAGCCTGTAAATAAACCTTTGTTATAGCAGGTACTACTCACTCAAGTCAAGGTCTAAATCATGTGGTTGCCATCTGAGTGACCTTGCATCCTTGACTGATGCTCTGAGCTCAGAGACTCAATCACTTCTGCAACCACGCTTTGTGGCATGGAGCTGGTTTGATAACCTGACTAGGTGTTATCATCAAAGGCCCACAGGCTTTCTCACGCCTTTGAGCTGCGGTGGTGATTGGACCCTGGCTCTTTTGGTGATTTATTACGGCTGTCTGACTCTGGTTTACTTTGAGAGGGGTGAAGGCGGCGAAGAGGAAAAAAACGGTGTGAAGCACTGAGGTCTGTAGTTAAACATTAATATATACATTAAAAAAAAGAGGCTGGCACCTTCTTTTTATCCTCTACTGGCATGAAAGCATCACACTGATGGTATGAAATGAACAAATGGAAAGATTGACTTCATGGGTGAGGTCTATTTATAGAATTAAAACTATGAGGATTAAATAAATGATTTTGACAAGGGTGCCTGACTTTAGAGGCTTATAAAGAAGTGTGTTAGCTGAGAAGGTTTATAAGAAGATCCAGAGTCATGAGTGGAATGGCACGACAGTATTTTGCTGCTAGTCTCTCAATTCACTTGAATGATTTTTATGCTGATGTTTAGCTTTTAATGACTTCTTTGAACTGTTGTTTTTCCCAATTGGAATGACTGTACACAGCATACATCTTTAATGACTTAAGGAAAGATTTGGGTGCACAAGGTTAAATGTATATGTCTGACAGTGACTTCTGTCGGTAGCCTTATGCAAAAGTAGGTTATAAACTCACAACTTTAGTAACTTTGCACATCTGTTCAACTGCTTAATAATACAAATACCTAATCAGCCAGTCAGATGGCAGCAACTCAGTTCATTTGGGCATGTAGACATGGTGAAGACAGCATGCTGAAAACTTGAAAACTGAGTATCAAAATTGCAAAGAGGGGTATTTTATGTGGCTTTGACTGTGGTGTGGTTGTTGGTGCCAGACAAGCTAGTCTGAATATTTCAGAAACTGCTGATTTGTTGGGATTTTCCTGCACAACCATTTCTAGGGTTTATAGATAATAGTCTGAAAAGCAAAGCTATGCAGATCTGATTGGAAGGCAGTAATAATTCCAACAACCTCTTGTTACAACCAGTATGTGCAGAAGAGCATCTCTTGTTGGCAACACATTGCCTGGTCCAATAAATCTAGATTTTTGCTCCAACATTCAGACTCAGAATGCTGCATAAATGAAAGTATGAATCCATCCTGTCTTTTATCAGTGGGTCAGGCTGCTGCTGGTGGTCTAATGGTTTTCTTGGCACACTTTCAACCCCACAGTACCACCTATTGTTTAAACACTGTTGCTGAGCACACTGTACGCCTCTTCTGATGGCTGCTTCCAGCAGGATAGTCCGCCATGTCACAAAACTCAGATCACTTCAAACTGGTTTCAATGGGATCACTGTACTCAGGTGGCATCCACAGTCACTGCATATCAGTCCAATATAACATCTTAGGGATGTGGTGATTCTCATCTTGGACATGCAGCTGACAAATCTGAATTTATGTGATGTTGTTGCGTCATTGTGGCCCGAAATCTCTGAGGAATGTTTCAAGCTTCTTGACGGAACTGATCCAGAAAGCATTACAGCATTTTTGAAAGCAAAAGGGGGTCCAACCTAGTACCTGAGAGGTGTACCTATTAAAGTGTCCAGTGAGTGTGTTATGCTTCTACTCTTAAGGACCTCAAATATTTACCAGGTAGCCATACAACCTCTGAGAGGCTAACTTTTTGATTTATTTTCAACCACTGGTTCCCGCTTATAACAAAGAAAATGAGAGTTCAGCAGGAAGTAATTCTTGTAATAAGGTCAGGAGAGAAGAAGGAAAAATGCTTACTTGTGCATGAAAACATGTCAAGGCTTGTTAGTGTGGAAAATAATGGGCTAATTGTTCAGTACCATTGAAAATAAACACGCAAAGGTTATTCAACACACACTGATACCCACGCTCTTATTCGCTTAATCACGCCAAGCCATGCTGATCCTGATCAGACCTTTCTGCCACAATAGCATATCTGCTCTTTTTTGCCAGTCTTTTTATAACTCCAGCACACGCCCAGTTTGAACCTTATGGGCAAAACCTATCACTCTGTTTTTCTCTCTCTCTCCCTCTCTCTCCAGATTTCCCAGCCACCCACACCCACCCGTACACTTGCGCACACAAACACAAGACCTGTGAGCCAACTCACTGATCAATCACAGATGGAGGTCTGGCTATTGCAATTCCCACTGCAATAGACAGCTCCTCCCATTTAGCGCCCCCTTTCTGTCACCACTCCAACTTCGCGACCACCACCTCTCGCTACGTGATAAAAAGCAGATCTCTTTTTTTTAAGCAAGCCCCCCATCTGTGCCCACAGACACAGGGAGTTTTCTTAAAAGAATGATGAAAAAAAAGGATTTGGTACTTGTGAAGTAATGTTCAAAAAGAATTTCATTGCCTAGTAGAAGCAGTTTTATGTCCGCTCTTTTAAACTCATGGCAAAACGATGAAATAGCAATTCAAGATTGTGAATGTGCAGAACTGATTTATAGCCGTAGATTTTTAAAAAAAAATCTCGCCAAGATAAAGACAAAACAAAAAAAGCTGCTTTTATGGAATAAGTTAGTCTTTAAAAAGTCAAAGTGAATTTATTTCCCTCAAACAAGCTCTTCAGTTTAATAAATGGCTGAAATATTCTCCCTCCCCTGCTGCAGGCAGTAATGTTAGTCATGCAGTGTCAGGGAAACTAAGACCTAAACTAAGACTGGGATCTTTGTAATGAGGGATATTCCTGCACAATATAGCAGATTTTTTGGTATCGATACCATACCAAGTACATACAGTCAGTGGGCTAAACAAAGTATTGATCCTCTCATGCTAGCATCGATGCAATACCAATATCAGCATTGATACTGTTGATTTGGAACAATCTACCCACCTCTAACAGTTGATCGTGCACACAGGAAGCTCAATAATTTTGGAGAGCACTATCAGTGTCACACTAGCTGGCAAGGAGGCTCATCATCTCATAGTGACAGTGCTTATTTTTCATTTAAACAATTCATTTAGTTAAGTGCATCTATTTCTGTTGTTTATCCACACTCAGGATGCATCGATCTGGTGCTTATATAATAAGGAGTTATTGCCGTACTCTAATCGAATGGAAAGGGCAAACAAATGTATCCAATCAGCTGATTAAC